AGAATAACCTTACCCCAAAGCCCTTTGTCATCTCTCACTAGTCTCCCCCACCACTTGCCTAATAAGGCGAGGTTAAACTTCCTAAGATCCTTAACTCCCAGACCACCTAGCTGTTTTTCTTTGCATACATTTTCCCATTTAACCCAATTAATCTTCTTCCCCCCCTCAGCCCCGCCCCACAAAAATTTCCTGCGAATTTTGTCAAGTAAAAGAATTGTACCTTTTGGGATCATATACATTGACATCCAGAAGACTGGGAGACTTGACAGCACTGAGTTAATAAGCGTAATCCGACCCCCCAGAGATAAGTATCTGCCCCTCCATGAAGCTAGCTTTCTTTCAAATATTTCAATCAGAGGTTTCCAAAAAGCGGTCCTTTTACTACTTCCTCCAACTGTGATACCTAGGTATTTTATTGGCAAAACACCTATTTTACAGCTCAGCACCCAAGACATTTTGTTTAACCAGGCATCCTCCACGCCAATACCCACTAATTGGCTTTTGTTGAAGTTGATTTTCAGGCCTGAAACCAGTTCATATGCTCTCAAGATTCCTTTCAATTCCCACACATTTTCTTTTGTAGCTTTGCCAAAGAGGATCGTGTCATCTGCATATTGTAAGTGTGAGATTCTAAAGCTTTTATTACCCACCTCCACACCTTCCAGCTTCCCCTTTCTAACAGCCTCTGAAACTAGCCCATTCAGGCCCTCTGCTACAATCAAAAATAGGAGCGGAGATAAAGGGTCTCCTTGTCTTAGACCTCTTGACACTTTGAATTGCCTACTTGGACTGCCATTAACTAAGATTGATACCAGGCTGGATCGTAAACATTCTTGGATCCACAGTCTCCATTTCACACAAAAACCCATCTTCTGCATCATGTGATCAAGAAAGGACCAACTTACTTTGTCAAAAGCTTTCTCGAAATCTATTTTAAACAAGAATGCTTTCTTCTTTTTCTTTTTTGCTTCGTCAATCACCTCATTAGCTATAACAATGCCGTCCATCAACTGTCTTCCCTTCAAGAAAGCCATCTGTTGCTCCCCGATTAAGTTCTCAAGCACCTTCTTCAGCCGATTAGCTAGAAGCTTAGCCAAGATTTTATACATCGCTCCAACAAGTGAGATAGGTCTATATTCCTCAATCCGAACTGGATTTTCAACTTTTGGAACCAGGACAACAAAAGAAGTGTTTAGACCTCTCACCAGTTTGCCATTTGCCTGGAATTCCTGCAGGAACCTCACCACATCAGCTTTGATTACATCCCATTCTGCTTTGACAAACCTGAAATTGAATCCATTAGGACCTGGGGCCTTCATGCTGTCACATTCTCCTACTGCTATCTTTATCTCCTCCTCAGTAAAGGGAGATGTGAGAATATCGTTGTCTTCCCCTGTGAGTTGCTTGAAATACAACCTGTCAAGTCTTGGTCTGTCCTTTTCCACCTCAGTATATAATTCCTCAAAATAGCAAGCAATTTCCTCTTTCATTTTGTTGGCGTTCCTGATTTGATCCCCTTTTATCTGTATGCTATTCATTTCCGTCCTTCTCCATCTGCCCTTCACACAGTTATGAAAGAACCTAGTATTTGCATCCCCCTGAGCCACCCAAGCTTTCCTTGATTTCTGTTGCATCATGTTCTCCTTGCTTTTCAAACTCTCCCAAATCTGAATGAATGGACTTAAAGCCCTCTCATGTACATATTCAATATAACATGTAGATCTTAGGCTAAAAAATTGGGCTTAATATGGCCTCCCCTTATACAAACCCAAACTACCATAAGATTTTGAACTTCATAGGAATGAAGTCAGAGTTTTAATATTATGTGAAAATTTAATCAACACCCAAATTTCAACACGAGTTTTACATCTAAATTAAAATTAATTGATTATAAGTAAAGTAACCTTTTTATATTTAACCCATATAATTGTTTATTATTTTCGATGAGAAATTTCCTACTTAACAACTACCACAAATAGCGGATATTGGTATTTTTGTTTGCATGCAAAACAAAACATTTCTTTGAATTCAGGAAGCCTTCAAACTTGAAATATAAAATAAATATTTTTTTATGTTAGATAATAAATTATATAATAAAAAATGGTTCTCTTCTTCTTTTATCCCTCTTACTCACTTTAAAATTTAAATTCAAAATCTTTAATTTAAAATTTTAAGTTTTTAACCACTTCAAAAGAATTACAAATACACAATTATTGACCCTTTAAATTTTGTTTATTCCTTCTTTCTGTAAATTAAAAATTAATTCAACCATTTAATAAAAGTAAAATTTAAACAAAACACTTAATGCATTTAAAAAAAAATAAAGTGTGCATGATAACTAAGTAAAGACACTCATATATAATAAAGGGGAAATGTTTTATAGGTTGTCCTTTCAAATTTTTTTGAAGAATTTGCCTAAAAATTCTTTATCTAATTTATATTTTTAAAAATTAATTGCTGTATTAAAAGTTTATTTATATAAATCATGCATATTTATTTTTAGATTGATTTAATAGGCCTAATAATTCATTGATTATACGAAATTTAATATTGTTAAATATATATTACTAAATAGAGTTTTTTTATCAAAAAATTAAAAATATTAGATTAATTTAAAAATTAACATACATAATTTAAATAAATAAAATTTTCAATTAACAATTAATTTTTAAAAATATTAATTAAAATGTGAATTACTATTTTTAAGTCATTGTTATAAGAACTACATGAAATATGTGTAAGGTTTTAGAGAAACCCTCATACCTTTAGAAATAAAATTTCTCTTGGTCTATCACAAAAAAAAAAAAAAAAATTAAGAATATGAGTTTTTAAATAAGTCTTTTAAAAACAATTATCCAGATAATTTGCACTACAATAACCCCTATAATAAATGTTGTTACAATTGAGAGTAGACAAAAGTAGGGCTTTGGTTAATCATATCCTTAAATTTGTTTAAGCTATTTAAGTTGTTAAATTTTTATTTTAATTTAATTATTAAAAATAATTAATAATTAATAAAATAAGTAATATTTATTATTTAATAAATTAAAATAAATTTATAAATAAATATTTTTAATATTATAATTGACTATTTTAAAAAAATTATAAATTAATAAAATTATAAATATGTAACTTTAACAGAAATGGAAGAAGGCAATAACCCGAGTCCAAAAGTGTAACATTTTCTTTTTCAGTTGAGTGGGACCGTTGACCTAGACAGATACAAAAACAACAAAATGGATTAGGTGCTTACTTTTTTTGAACTTGGATTAGGTGCTTACTTTTTTTTAACTAGGATTAGGTGCTTACTTAATTGCATGATTTTCAATGAATATTTGGAAGGTCACATGACAGCTGTCATTTTTTTATACACTGCAACATAATACTCATTTTTCAATTTTTAGTCCATTAATTAATCTCGAGCTTAGGTGGCTATTAAGCATTAATACACCAATAAAATTTCGTTGAGTGACAATTATTAGAACCGCAGCACGTAAATCGTGAACCGTGTTCAATCCACTTGTACAGATTTGGTTATCACTCTACTGAATATTATAATCACACAATTTATCCTCCTTTTTTTTAACAATTTATAACTTTTTTTTGTTAAATAATTAATTATAATATTTAAAAATATCTATATATAAATTATTTTTAATTGTTTAAATAATAAATATAAACATTTTATTGATTTTTTTAATAATCAAATTAAAATAAAAATTAAACAAATTATATTACTAATAGCAAAATGAGAGAGAGAGGACATGAGAGAGGGAGAGGAGGTGACCGAAGGACTACGGCAAGAAGGACAACACAGAGTAGAGGTCGCGGAAGATCTGCAGGTAAATGGCAACAGAGGAAGACTACGCCGGTGGGACAGAGGAGAACTCAACTCAACCGGAATCAGTTTCAACAGGGAAAGCTAGGAGATTCATATGACTGGGGGCTTTACAAACAAGCTGTACTGTATTTTTTTACAAATTTCCCAGATGAATGGACTTATGCAGACATGTGGAACACTTTTAGAAGGTATGGTAGAGTATACACCATTTACAGTCCAAACAGGAGAAGTAGGAACGGTAGCAGGTTTGGATTTGTGAGATATTTAGAGGTGAAAGACAGAAGGGAGCTGGAAAGGAGGCTGGATTAGATCTGGGTTGAAGGAAGAAAGCTGTGGCTAAATTCTTCGAGATATGTAAGGCAAAAATGGAGGTGCGAGATCAGAAAACTACTCAAGGATTTGAACTAAAACTTCAAACCAGGAGCTATGCTGAAGTGGTGAAGAGCCGACAGGAGAAAGAACAAGAGGAGAAGGGGAGTAAGCATTTCACGGTGAATCAAACGGAAGGGCAGAGAAACATCAGAAGCCAAGCTAGAAGTGAAGTGGGAGGCAGTGAAAATAGGAAAGTGTGGCAAGAAAAAGGCAAGAGTGCTAATTGGGCTGGATTTGAATACAATGTTAACCCAGGAGAGTACGCATGGCTTGACGGATGTTATGTAGGAATCGTTTACTCGGTGGAAATGGTTCGTAATTTGCAAGAAAAATTTTACATGGAAGGGTACTTTGCATGCCGAATCCGTGCAATGGGGGGAAAATTGGTGTTACTTGATTGTGATGACAAAAGTGAGCTGAAAGATTTGGTGGAGTCGGCATCAGAGTGGTTAGGACAATGGTTTGCAGAAGTGAAACCATGGTCACCAGAAAAGGTTGCGGATGAAAGGTTTGTGTGGATTAGGTGTCAAGGAGCACCCTTAAATGTGTGGGGGACAGATTCTTTTGCAAAAATGGGTAGCTCATGGGGTAAATTCATCTATTTGGATGATAACACAAGCCAAAAAAGAAGATTTGATGTAGCTAGATTCTTGCTCTCAACACCGATCATGAATACCATATCAGTCTCGAGACAGATTAAAATAAATGGGTCCATGTACAATGTTAAATTCACGGAGGAGGAGTTCACCAATAGCTTCTTCTCCTTGAAGCAGGATTTTATGCCAACTTTTCAAAGTGAGTCTGATAATGAGGAATCATGGTCACTAGATAGGGAAAAGGAAGATAGTGATCTGGAAAAAATTGCAGAGATGGAGCAAGAGAAAATAAGGGACATTGAGCTGGAGGAGGAAGATGATGAGGTGGCATACAGTAAAGGGAAGACTGATGGAAAGTATCTGACACAAGATCTGCAATACAAAAAAGGGATAATCGAAGCTGTGGCAGAGAGCTCAGTTCGAATTCAAAATTCAAATGAAGATATCAATAGTGCAGCTGAGGAAGGGACGAAGCACAACAGGGGAATTTGGAAATTGTGGTAGGAAAATTGGGCTCTAATGGGAAACATAGGAGGAGGCCGAAGAGCAAGCCCAAATCACAAGGAAGTAGCCCAAGTTATGTAGAGTCAACCAATGAAGGAATGGGCCAAGGACTAAGCGGAGTAGGCCCATCTATGGGTAAATTAATAGAGATGAATAAAGACAAAGGGACAAAGGCGGTAATTTATGATGATGAGGAAAGGAAATCTGTCCAGAGGGAGCTCAATGATGAAGAGGAGCAGAGGCAAAGGTTAAAGCAGAAGGGGTCGATGGGGGACAAGGTGGCTTTTACCGTGGAGGAAGTGAGGGAGTCGATCATGTGGGAACATGAGGGTGAAGCAGAACAGAAGCAGACCCCGAAGTAGATGGGATCGAGGGGGGCCAAGGTGTCAATTTTCGAAGAGGAAGGAAGTGATTCTGTTTAGTGGGATCACGATGATGATGCGATGCAGTTGCAGATCCTGAAGCAGAAGGGGTCAAGAACACTTCTGCAAAAGAGGAAGAAGAAAATTAAGCTATGTAGTGCTGTCTATCGACGAGAGGGGGCTGTGGGTGTTGAACAGAGAAAAAAAGAAAAAAGAAGGATGTGCAAAATAGATCCGGAAAACAAAGAAAGGAAGATTAATGCCGGAATTTTTGGCTAGTCCAAATGGTGAGATAGCAGGGGAATCCATCGGAGATAGTGGCATAGAAAACTGTAACAGGGCTTGGAAGGAACAAATGCACAGCCACCTTGCCAAGGAAAATTGGGATCTAGCCAAACAATTGGGTGCAACAACAGAGAAGGACAAGGCGATGGTGCAAAGAATTGAAGAGATGGAGAGGAGAGACAGACAAAAAAAGAAGAAGGAAGAAATGGTAAATCGAGTAGCTGAGGAAGCAAAGAAGGTAAGCATAGAGAGTAATGATACTATTGTCCTTTAATATAAGGGGATTAGGAGGGGTGGGGAAGAAAAGAATTATAAAGGAGATGGTGATTAAAGAAAAGGTAGAGTTTTTAGCAGTGCAGGAAACTAAATTGGAAGTTGTAGATAGGAAATTATGCAGGAGAGTGTGGGGCAATGAGAATTTTGATTGGATTTTTAAACCTTCAGAGGGCTTATCTGGAGGACTACTATGTGTTTGGGAATCAACGCTGTTTAAAATGAAGGAGGTGATTGAGGGGCGTTTTTTTATGGGTGTGTTTGGGGTATGGGGAGAAGAGCAGATACCGGTGCATTTGATTAACATATACTCTCCATGTACTCTGGCGGGCAAAAGAGAGTTGTGGGAGGAGCTGGGTAATTTAATCAATAGAAGGAAGGGAAGATGGTGCTTAAGAGGTGATTTTAATGCTGTTACTAGGGTAGAGGTGAAGGCGGGGTGCAAAGATCCAACCATAGAGATGAATGATTTTAATAGCTTTATTCATGATGCGGGGTTGATAGATTTACCATTGATAGGCAGGAAGTATACCTAGTACAACTCAAATGGTCAACAGATGAGTAGAATTGACAGATTTCTGATTTCTGTTGATTGGCTTGAGAAGTGGAGTGATGTGAAATAGTGGGGCTTGGGCAGATTAGTGTCAGATCATTGTCCACTGGTTCTGAAGAATGAAAAAGTAGACTGGGGACCAAAGCTGTTTAAATTCTTCGATGCGTGGCTGGAGCAAATTGAATGCAAGGAGCTGATAAGAAAGGCATGGAATTCTACAGCGGAAGAGGGGAGAAAGGGATTCAGACTAAAGGAGAAACTGAAAGGAACTAAAAAAGCCTTGAAGGAGTGGAGTGGCAACCACATGTCGGAATTAGATTGCAAGATAAAGGAAGCAGAAAAGATGATAGCTACTCTGGATGAGAAAGGAGAAATTGTCCAACTATTGGAAGAAGACACCAACAGGAGGAAAGGCTGCTTCCTAGATCATTGGAAGAACTTGAGAATCAAGGAGAGTATGTGGCAACAGAAATCACGGAAGATGTGGCTAAGAGATGGGGATGCTAACACAAAGTTTTACCACAACTGTGTGAAGGGCAGATGGAGAAGAAATGAGATAAACAGCATCCAGGTTAATGGGAAACAGCTGCGGGAGGTGGGTGAGTTAAAAGAAGGAGTGGCAAAGTATTTTCAAGATCTGTTCACATAAAATGACTAGCTGAGACCAAAGCTGGATGGCATCAACTTCAAACAACTATCCCATGCAGACAATGAAACCCTTATGGCTGAGTTTTCAGAGGAAGAAGTTAAAAATGTAGTGTGGGATTGCGAGCTAACAAAATCCTCGGGGCCTGACGGGTTTAATTTCAAGTTTATAAAGGCTATGTGGGAGGACATAAAGCAAGATGTTATTGGCTATATTTAGGAATTTCATGAACGAGGCAAGATGGAAAAAGGAGCAAATGCGTCTTTCATAGTCTTAATCCCGAAGGTTGAAAATCCCCAAAGAATTGAAGATTATAGGCCAATCTCGCTCATTGGAGTCAGGTACAAGATTCTGGCAAAGTTATTAGTTAACCGTCTGAGGAAAGTACTGGATACGATCATCGAGGAGCAACAAATGGCATTCATTAAGGGCAGAAAGTTGCTGGATGGGGTGATCATTGCTAATGAGGTGATTGAGGAAGCAAAGAGAAAGAAGAAAAACAGCTTTCTACTCAAGGTGGACTTCGAAAAGGCTTATGACAAGGTAGGTTGGGACTTTATTGACTACATGCTGTTGAGAATGTGGTTTACTGCCAAATGGAGAAAATGGATGAAAGAATGTCTCCAATCGAGCACAGTATCAATCCTCATTAATGGAAGCCCAAAAAGGCAGTTCCTGGTTAGTAAAGGGATTAGGCAAGGTGACCCACTATCTCCCTTCTTGTTTTTAATAGTAACGGAGGGTTTGAATGGCTTAATGTTATCTGCGATGGATAAGAATCTTTACAAGGGGGTGAGGATTGGAAACGTAGATGTGATGGTATCCCACCTCCAGTTTGCAGACGACACGATATTTTTTGGCGAAGCATCAAAGGAGAACATTCAAGTTATCAAATGCGTTCTGAGAACCTTTGAGCTAGCTTCGGGTCTTAAGATTAACTATGGTAAAAGTCAGTTAATGGGTATCGGGGTTGAGGAAGATTGGAAAAAGAGAATGGCATACACTCTTCACTGCAAAGAAGGTGAGCTTCCTGTCAAGTATCTGGGAATTCAAATTGGAGGGAATCATAGAAAGCTATCAATGTGGCAGCCATTGGTGAACTCGTTCAAGAAGAAGCTTGCAAGTTGGAAGGGCCGGGATTTATCAATGGGAGGTCGAATTGCGCTCATAAACTCTGTGTTGTCCAGCTTACCGGTGTTCCAGATGTCAGCCTACCTACTCCCCAAAGGTATTCTATACTCTTTAGATAAAATTCGTAGAAATTTTTTATGGGGAGGGGAGGGGAGGGAGAGGGAAAGAAAATCAATTGGGTTAGTTGGGAAAGGGTATGTAGAGCAAAGGAGGAGGGGGGGTTAGGAGTAAAAGACTTGAAGAATTTTAATGTGGCATTGATGGGAAAATGGTTGAGTCGGTTAGCAAATATGGAAGAGGGATTGTGGAAGAGTGTCATTGTAGGAAAATATGGAGCAAAAGGGGGTCACTGGATGGACTGGGTGCATGATGGCAGGAACATCGGATCGTTATGGTTGAGAGACGTCCGAAGACTCAAAATCGGGGAGGGAGTGAATGTGAGATGGTTGTGGGAGGATTTTAGGCTCAAGATAGGGGACGGGAGAGGTGTTAAATTCTGGTGGGATACATGGTGTGGGGAGGAGTGTCTAGCTAACAAATTTCCTAGACTGTATTTATTGTCAACAGGGAAAGAAAAAGAATGTCATGAAATGGGTAATGGGGATCGAACCACATGGAAATGGAATTTATCTTGGAGACGAAATTTGTTTGAGTGGGAAGAAGAAGCAGTCCGAGAACTCAAAGGGATGATTGAAGAAGTGAAGATCACACCAAGCCGCCCAAATAGATGGGAATGGAGCCACAGCACGGAAGGCCAATACTCGACAAAAATAGCTTATCAAAGGATATCAATGCCAAGGAAGAACCCAGAGGAAGAGAAAATTTTTAAAAGGGTTTGGAACCCCACCGTCCCTAGCAAAGTGGTTGCATTTAATTGGAAAGCATTGCTGGACAGAATCCCAACTAAGTTAAATCTTATCAAAAGGGGAATTATCAAAGCCATGGCAGAAGGAAAATGTGTCTTATACGAGGAAGAGACTGAGGATGTTGACCATCTGTTCTTAAAATGCAAAGTAGCTGGAGGTTTGTGGCAACCATGCGCAAACTGGTGGGGAACAAATTTTACACTTCACAGAGATTGCTGGACAACATTTCATCATTTTGGGACATGGACTACAAAACCACACATTTCAGAAGGGTGGGATTGCATCTGGAATACAGTTATATGGACTATATGGATGGCACGAAACGGAAAGGTTTTTCATGATTCAAAGGTAAACAAATGTAATCTTTTTGAGCTTATTCAATTGAGATCTTTTGATTGGATTAAAGCAAGGAAAGCTAGGTGTTATTTCAGTCTTTCGAATTGGATGATTGATCCTACTGCTTGTCTTTTAGTAAATGGTAGAGGAAAGTAGTAATGATCCGAAAGATAGGATTAACATTGAAGGGCTGATTTTTGTATTTGTAGTAAGGGTTTGAGTACCCCTTGTACTCAGTTTTTCATCAATGGATTTTTCATTTGCTATTCAAAAAAAAAAAAAAAAACAAATTATATTACTTTATATATATATGATTATGAGTTATATAAGAAATGATAATTTTTTTTTTTTTCAAATTCTTTCCTACTCAACTCAACCCAACTTAAAGGTTGAACTAGAAATTTTTAATTTAAAATTTTAAAATTTTAACCATTGAACCATCTTAAGTAACAAATTTTGTTACGTTGATAATTGATTATGTGGCCATAGTCATTGCCCATATGTACCGAATGCGTTACTTTTCCTAAAAATTAGAGCTAGAGTTTTGGGGGTAAAATTGCAAGAAAATAGCCTTACGAGGAGACTGCAAGAACAGTTTCTCAATTGCTCTAGGATTCATCCTAAGGGTGTGTTTTGTTTGGGGGAAGTTTCCTCCTAATTCTTTTTATAGAGTTATTTTTATATTTTTGTACTTTAGTATTACAATTAAAAAACAAAATTTTTTTTATTTTCTACATATAATTTTCAATGGCATAACTCTATTGAATCCCTCAACTTATAAATTTAAGATTCTTCATTCTTTATCTTAAAATTTAAGGATATCAGCCTGTAAACTGCACAATTTAAATGAAGTTGTCCCAATTTAATGGATTTATAATGCTAAGTTAACGGTGTAAGTTAAATATCCACTTGTCCGGTCCATCCAATGACACGTGGCCTTCCATTCTCCAACATGGCATCACACTAAGGATTTTTTTATTAAAAATTAAATTTAAAAATTTCTAAAAGAACCCACAAATATGTCGCAACATGCTATAAACCGTCAACTTGCCATTACAAATCTGCTAAATCGGGCCAATTTTCCTTAAATTGTGCAATTTGAGGGCTAATACTCTTAAATTTTAAGGTGAAGGGTGAATAACTTTAAATTTTATAAGTTGAGGGGTTAATCAGGGGTTTTAACTAGGAAAATTTTTTTGTTGCATTTTTTGAAGGAAAAAAATTTCCCCTAACTTTTTTTATGCAAGATCCACATAATTTTTCCTATGCTTATTTTTTACCAAACACATAAAAATTAACACTTTAACTAAATTCCTATAAAACTTCATTTAAAAAAATTATCAACTTTTCATACAATATTTTTTTAACTTTCTAAATAGTATTTTTCTAACCTTTTTTTCAATAAAGTTTGCTTCTAACCAAACAAGTCTTAAGCTTTAGAAATTTTTTATTACTTTCCTATGCTTCGTCCAGTTAAGATTGATAATCACTTAATTACATTTTTTCTTCAAATGGTATCTAGCTTTTTTATCTCTCGGCAATTTTCATCCAATGACAGTCAACCCAAATTTTGCATGTGATTGTGATATGATTAAGATAACTAACATGCATTGTGGATATTATTATTACTTTTGCTTGTGTCTACACGCAAAACATTTCCTTAAATTAAGGAACCTTCAAACTTAAAATTTTTAATTTTAATTGGAAATAAATGTGTCCCTCTTTTTGTGGTTGTATATAGGATACATAATTTTTGTGTTTAATTAAGTGGAAATTGCTCTGAAAGTTAGTATATGTAGTTACTAGCTATTAGCTAACTGCACAGGTTTAAAGTACCCTTCTACTTCCTCTATCAATAATAAACCAAGTAGCCAAGAGGCAATCTCAAAACACTTTCAAATACCCCAGAAAGCAAACACCAGATGAAACGAGAAAAAGAAACGCAAAAATATCTCCAAAAGGATAGAAAAAATGTTGAATAACAGGCTTTCAAACGCCTTCCTTAATTTGCTTCTGATAACAGAAACGGGATCAAGCCGACAAGAACAAGCAGGAATTAATAAACATTTTTGGTATGGCTGGCTTATACCACTTTAGAGATAATATTTTAGTACCAAAGAAAATTTCCACACCACCAAAGACCATAATATTAGCGGTGCAATATAATTATATATGAGCCTTGCATGCTGAATTATGTACTGAACGTGAAGTCAACCTTTTCAACTATAACTAATTAAGGAAATGGAAATATTAAGCATCAATAGACTTATAAGATTTTAAGTTAATATTTACTTATTAAGGTTTAGCAATTAATTGAATTAGTCAAGAAACTAGTTGTATTTAAATAGATAATTCAAACAAATAAGGCATACTTACACTGGATCTGGTGTCGACACTATATTGTATGCACCCAAACAAAAGGGTTTGAAATTGTATGACTTTCAAATTGTCAAGTTGATGAGTTAGGGTATCCCTTGTACTCCGTTTATTAATAAATAAAATAATATTTTTTGCTGTTCAAAAAAAAAAAAGAAGACATATATATAAAGCTTTTAGAATGTTAATTAGTAATTAACTTTCTATGCATGTACAAAAAAAATTAAAATTAAGTATCACCATTCACAAGAACACAAATAATATAGCTATGGGCACAACAGGCCTAATGCAGGAACACATAAAGCTTGGGACACTACCAAGTCCTGGCATTCCACGATCTGATTGAGATGGTAGCTAATTGCCCTAATTAAACTTGGTTTATTAGAATCATGATGACTACGTACATTACTTGGGCGGGGCCAAAAAATGTATAAATGGAAATAGATATACCTCGTATCGTGCAATCGACAGTTAAGGAACAAAGGTTATAATTTTTTGATAAAGTATGGAGATTGTAAGAACTGGAGAAAGCTACACCTACCAACTACGTTGAATGACAGGAAGCGAAAAAGGACAATCCAATGTTCCATTTGAGATGACCGTGTATGTCAACATCGGAAAAAGACAGATCCGACAGAGAGAAACTGGAAAATACTGACATGTTTGATTCCTCTTACTTTGGGAAAGATTAAAATATTTCTTATAATTATATTATGTTGATATGGTCTAATTAAGGGAGAGATATGGAATCCTAAAGCACATTAAATAATGGTTAATTCATGGAATCCAGGTTGAATTTAAGTGTCTTCAATGTTTGCTTAATATCAACAGAAAAAAGAGAGGTTAAAAAATCAATTGAAAGTTTTGTTTTGAAACTAGTCAAAACCTTACATTCAATCCTTGGACTTATCTTGGATTTTTAATTAAGTTTTTAAATTTTTATTAAAGTAAATAAATTTTTAAACTTAACAATTTAAACAATACTAACGATTTAAATAGTTCAGTGATAATCTCTTTTCACTAAAAATAAGAAAACTTGAGTTCAAGTCGCATGACATGCGGGTGAAGTAGAATAAGGGATGAGAGATAATTGTCTCTATTAAGCAACCAAGATAAAAAAAAAAAAAATTTAGACAATTTAACTTTATTTCTTATTGTAGATTTAACATTCATTCATATTTTACTTATGTGGATAAAGTTAATATCCACCATGTAAACAATGATACGTAAATTCTTTGTTTACAGAAGTAAGATACAAATAGATGTTAAGTTTATTATAAAGGAAAAAATTAAATTGTTCAAATTGTAAAATTTAAAAATTTATTTGTTTTAATAAAAATTTAATAATTTAATCAAAAACTTAAAATAAATTTAAAGGTTTGATATGAGGTTTTGCCTGGAAACTAATGATCCTTCTCATTTCATATTGCAGCAAACACAGACACGAAGTCCAAAAATATATATATATATATATATATTTGTTTTCTTAATAACGACGTACAAGAATCAAAAGGTCCAACTACCTGCACTCAAAAGTTCCAGTATATATATGCTGCGTATCCCATCTATTTCATCAGCCCACAAATTAACAAGAAAACTGGCACCAGCTGTTACAATAATATAAATATAAATATAAATATAAATAAAAACAAAAATTAAAAAAAATGAACTCTCATTCTTGCCCTTAACTCACTCAGAAAAATATATTCAAACATTAATTACTAAACTTGTATGATGGGGATGCAAATGATGTAACGTCAAATTAATAATAGTACGGCCCAAGAATTTTTTTTTTCCTATAAATTTGATAAGACAAAAATGTTCCCAGCTCTTTGATTTCCTTTTCGGCCAGTCCAGAAACATATCAATTCATACATAGCTTTTAATGGGGGAAAAAAACCTATACACAAGATCATTATTAACCTCTCTGGTTAGTGACATGTCATACTTTTTAGAAAAAGGTGTCTGTCAATTTTTATTTTATACACTGTGCATATATATATATATTCAATTTAGTTGTTATAGTGTTTTTGAATCAATTTGTATTCACTTTAAGATTAATCTTTTTTTTGATTTGATCAAATTCAGGGCCATTCACATCAAGACTAAGAAAATTATGAGAAATTATCTTCTTATTAGTTTCCCCAATTATTGAGACCTTAGTTAACAAGCTGAGGGGGAAATTTTTTTGCTAATTAAGCTATAATTCTTTAGATATACACTTATTATATATTAAAAATTAAAGATTGACATTAATTTTTTTGATTGTTCAATTAAAAGCATGCACTAACATGATTGTTAAAATTAATATAAATTTTTTTATTTTTATGTAAATTAATATTTAAAATATGTAATAAATGTATTTTTAACTCATAGGGTACAAGTTACACAAACCATTTAAATAAAATATTAAAAGCTCTCTTGCCAACTTTGCTCCTATTGCAATTTCATTTCGACTTCATTGGATTAAAGCAAGAATAGATTGGTACACTGGTAATTTTTCAGATTGGATTATTGATCTAGTTGCATGTCTAAAAATGATTTATGGTAAACGGAAGGGTACCAAAGCAGCGGGCTATATGTAATGGATTTTATTTTGTTTGGATTGGATTGTGCTATGTGGGTTTAATTTGAGTACCCTTTGTACTCTATCTTATCAATAAAATGTTTTTGTTATTCAAAAAAAAAATCATTTTGACTTCCTTAATAAAACTTATTTATTCTCAACCTCCTCATTAATTCAGTCCCACAGGTAAATATAAATTTTTAATCTATAATAATTGTATTTTTATAAAGGAAAATGATTAGTTATACTTGGTTTAATATATTTTTTTACATTCATCCAACTATAATTATTAAAATATAACATAAGTATAAGTCGATTCAATTAGTTTTTACACCTTATTTGCATGGCTTCATTTTTAAGTTTAATTATCTTTAATTTCATATTGGAAAATAATAATTTTTTTAATAAGTATGTTATACAATATGTTAAATCGAAGTATGTATTACTTAATGTCCTTTTATATTAATTAATCGAAGTGTTTCATAAAGATGAAGGATTATTAGAAAGCCTGCTGAAAAGGGTGCAAGTTAAAACCTTTTTATGGATTAAGACCAAAGTGAATGGTTGTGTTTTTTCCTTTTATGAATGGCAAATTTGTCCGATGTAGTGTGCAATGTCTGTCAAACGGCATAAAAGGATGCAAAAGCAGTTCTCTAAGGCTTTTGTGTCCTCTAGCTAATGGGTGGGTGGTGCAGAATATGTTCCAAACGTTTTATGTCTGGGTACCTGATGGTATTGTTTTGATTTGGTTTTAATGCTTTGTTCGTTTTTGGTTATAAGGAGTTGGTTATTCTCAATTGTGGGTTTTAAGTGTTATATATGGGCAGGGGCACCCTTGTGCTCCATTTAAATAAAAAGTTTTCTTTTGGCTGATAAAAAAAAAAAGGCTTTGGTTACATATTTCTAATAGGTTAAATGCTCATTTTGGTCCCTCAACTTTAGTGGTTTGCACATTTTTGGTCCCTTGAGAATTTTTTGCACTTTTTTGATCCCTCAACTATACGAAATGCACTCCGTTAGTCCTTCTGTTAATTTGGGCCGTTAACCTTATTTACGTGGCATTTTTTATATTTTTTTTGATGACGTGGAGAGCAAAATTTCAAAAAGTGATGACATGGTTAAAATTTTTGCCATGTGAGATGCTATCAGGCGAAAACACACTAAATCCATGCAAGTGGGTCCCACATCACCACTAACAATTGCTTTGCCCATCGATTATGAAATTCGACGGAACCAGCAAATCTGAGTTCGATATAATCCAGAAAATAA